CCCACCCCCCATACCCAAAATTTTCTCAGCGGATTTGGGCTGTACTCAGCAAGCGCAGTACAGCTTCCAACTCAGATCTGAAAAAAAATTAGTGGATGGTTGTTTTCTGACTGGTCGGCAGACCGGGGACCGGTCGGCCCTACTGGTCGGCTGCAATACGGTCGGCGGTCGGGGTCGGCAGCCGGCAGGGATGCAACCATGCTCCTTTGTCTAATCTCCCTCCCCTCTCCTTCGTCTGTGTATGATTCTCTCGTCTCATTCTGTCTGGACACGATCTTGACTATTGGTAATCATCAGCTGGTTGACATTCATCTGGACTTGCATTGTTGATAACTGTCTTCACGAGCTGGGTTCATTGCATTTCATTTGGCACACAGCCAGTGTTTGTGGCCTCCCCTCTATGTTAAATTTCCTGGTGTTTGTTGGTTCAGGGCCGTATACTCGCTGGCCATGGGACGGGTCTGCCTACCTGCCACAGCTGGGCTGGCAGCAGTGCTTGATATTTTGAGAGAGCCAACTTCGGCAATTTTTCGCGCTCAGAATTGTTGGCAAAAATTTTTGAAAAATAACCAGGGTCATGCACTGAGAGCTGGATGTTTCCAGGGACAATCTGAAAATCCAAAACAAAAATCAAAACAAAAATCGAAACAAAAATCCATGGTAACCGCGGACCCGGACACCGAACACTTCCGGACTGTCTTCCGGACCAGTGTCTGGACCGGTCCGGACTGTCCGGTGATCCGGACATCACCGGACACCAGACATAACCGGACACCGGAGAGTCCGGACCGGTCCCCGGGGTGCAAACAATGTCCAGACAAAAAAAAAACAAAAACACCGGGGGTGGGGGAGGGGTTGGGTGGGGGTGTTGGCAGGCACTTACCTGCTTTGCACTCTGTACTTCACACAGCAGAGCACATGTCTTGCAGCAAATCAACCAGCACAAGTTACTAGCAGACATGCAGAGTTGCAAACAGTGCAAAGCAGGCACAAGACTAAAGAAACAGAGAATCTTTTTTTGAAAAAAGTATGATTAACTTTCGACTTTGAACTTTGGAGTTAGTAACTTAAGTTCATAAGTTCATACATAACTTAAAAGTTCGAACTTCACAGTTCAATTCAGAACGTCAGAGTCTTAAGTTCATAACTTCATATATAACTTAAAAGTTCAAACTTTGCAGTTCAATTCAGAACGTCAGAGTCTTCAGACTGGCAGCACTGTCAGTGCTCTCTCTCTCTCTCTCTCTCTCTCTCTCTCTCTCTC